TCCATTTTCCAGAATTCAACGTTTCCGTTCTGCCAATTGGGTTTCTTGCTCTACCTACTGAAATGACACAATCCACTTCCTTTTCTTATCATCCTTTTTGAAGTATCTAAGGAATTTCAGTTCACTACATCATCCTCCTCAAATGCCGCTACTATAGCGTCCAGCTGGACAGAATGGCTTTACTTGCAATAAATCACCTTCAATGATTTATCTTTCCATTGTTGCACTATGACCTCTGCAATCTCCCAAGGATTCATCGTTAGATCCTATTCTATTTCTTATCTGCATGCTACCTCTCAACAATATCATCTAAAACATTACATCAAGTTCCACGTGTAAGCTAATTGCACTCACTAAATACAGACAAGTATATGTGTTTCAATAAAAACAGCTTAAACATAGTAGCTCATCTGTTCAGAGAAAAGACAGTTCTGTAATCAAAAATTTCAGTCTCATTCAAAACAAATTAATAGAACTTTTCAATATGTGAAAAATATCAAGGTGAGTTTGTTTAGTCTGTTTAATTGCTTTGTAATTCTTTTAAACAAAATGCCACTAATTATTTATCACTCAATTATTAACATCTTATAACGTAGTAATTTGCAATGTCTTGAAATCATAGACTATGCAGCAGTGAAACTCAAAATCACAAAACTCAAAGACACAACAGTTTAAAATAATTAATGAAATTATACAGCATAAAAGGTGCAATTCACCTCATCATAAATGGTGCAGTTTTAAAGGTGCTGCAGAAACAGAAGGCTGTAAGAGTGTATGCACATGAATTCTTGACTGGCAGGATAAGTTGAGAAGGACAGGAAACAAATGGGATCCTTGGCTTTATTAAGAGTACAAAATCCAAGGAGGATGTGCTAAATCTTTAGAAAACTCTATCTAGGTTTCAGCTGAAAGGCTCTATTCATTTCCAAGCACCACACCTTTAGAATGATATCAAAGCATTAGGTAAGGTGCAGAGATTATTAACAAGATAAGTATCAGAGGTGTAAGATTTACATTGATATGAAGAGAGACAAGAGAAGTTGGGATGTTCTTCTTAGGGCAGAGGAGATTAGGAAGGGATCAATAGAACTATTCAAATTTTTAATTGTGTCTCTTTATTTATCAAAACAATTCAAGTGACAGGAGGGTTAGAAACCAGAGAATGTAAATTTATGGCAATCAACAAAAGAACTAGAGGTGAGACAAGGGAAAAACATTAAATAGCAAGTTGCTAAGATCTGAAATGCAGTGCATAAAAGAGTGCTGGAAGCAAATGCAATAATGGCTTGGATTTTGTGGTCTTTGGCAAACAAGCAAAATCAACAGTAAGTACGAATACTTACCCACAGACTCCCTGTTGTTTTTAACTAAATCTTGCAATGATTATTGCATGGCAACTTCTAAAGGGTAATTGTGTGTTCAAGCAGATAACTGTGTCTTATTAACCAATGAGTTTGAAAAAACCTCTATGGCTTGCAGAGTCTAAATCAGTAAACGCAGGATGGAATGTAGTTCAATGGGAAATCATATTTAGAAAGCAAAAAAAGATACATTCAATTGGGACATAGCAGGAACAGGAGGGAAAAAAATGAATAAATTATTTTTAAAAATCTCCAAAACAATTCACATCTGAAATAATTAAGAGATTGTTTGGTAATAATTAACACTTATTAGTGTGATTAAAAATGCACATTCATGAGGCCACAGTTGAGTACTGTGCACAGTTCTAGTCATCACATTGTAGGAAGGATGCGATTGCACTGGAGGGGGTGATGAGGAAATTCACCAGGATGATGCCTGGGATGGAACATTTTAGCTATGAAGAAAGACTGGATACGATTGAGTTGTTTTCTTTTGAATGGAGAAGGTTGAGGGTGTGGCCTGATAGAGGTGTATAAGATTATGAGGGGCAAGGACTGGGTGGATAGAAAGCAGATTTTCTCTTAGAGATAGTAGGAACTGCAGATGCTGGAGAATCTGAGATAACAAGGTGTAGAGCTGGATGAACACAGCAGGCCAAGGAGCATCAGAGTTGAGGGATCAAGAACAAGGAGGGACACTTTTAAAATAAAAGGCAGGAGTTTAGAGGGGATTTGAGGAAAACTTTTAACCCAGAGAATGGTGGGTTCTGGAATGCACTGGAGGGTAGTTGAGGTGGGTAATCTCACAACTTTTTAAAAAGTACTTGGATGAATGCTTGAAGTGTCGTAACATTGAAGGCTAGTTCAGGAAAGTAGGACTGTTGTAGGTAGTATATATTTTTGACAGTACAGACTCAATGGGCTGAAAGCCTCTTCTATATTGTATGATTTTATGATTGTACTTAAATTGGAATGGAGAAGACTTTTCTTTTCCAAATGAATTTAATAGACATTTATCACATCAGTTTGATAACTGATAACCTCTTCAATAACATGTGTGCTGAAAGACTGGTATTTCTACTGCAAAATGCAGTATATGCACACATAGGAGCAGAATTAGGCCATTTGTCCCATCAAGTCTACTCTGCCAATCAATCATGGTTGATGTTTGTCAACCCCACTCACCTGCCTTCTCTCTTGACCTTTGATCCCTTGACTAATCAAGAATCAATATATCTGTCTTAAATATACTCAATGACTTGCCGTCCACAGTCTTCTGTGGCAATGAGTTGCACAGATTCACCATCCTCCGGCTGAAGAAATTCCTTATCTCAGTTCTAAGTGGCTGTCCCCTTAATCTGAGGCTTTGTCCTCCAATCCTAGTCTCTCCTGCTAGTAGAAACATCTTCACCACATCCACTCTATCCAGGCCTCTCCGTATTCTGTAAGTTTCAGTGAGATTCCCCTCATTTTCCTAACTTGTATCAAGTATAGACAGAGTCCTCAAGTGCTCCTCATATGACAAGCCCTTCATCCCTGGGATCATTGCTATAAACCCTCCCAGGCCAGAATATTGTACCCTAGAGATGGGGCCCAAAACTGTTCACAATATTTTAAATGTGATCTGACCAGACAGCTTTGGGCAACCTTAGCAGTTCATCCCTGCTCTTATATTCTCATCTTCTCGAAATGAATGCGAACATTGCATTTGGCTTCCTAACTACCAAATGAACCTCCATGTTAACCTTCAGAAAATCCTGAACCAGGACTTCTAAGTCTCTTTGTGCTTCAGATTTCCGAAGCCTTCCCATTTAGAAAATAGTTCATGCCTTTATTCTTCCAACCAAAAGTGCATAACCTCACGCTTTCCCACATTGTATTCCATTTGTTGCATCTTTTCCCACTCTCCTAGCCTGTCGAAATGCTTCTGCAGCCTCCCCACCACTATCTATCCCTCCACCTATCTTTGTGTCATCTGTAAACTTAGCAACAATGCCCTCATTTTCTTCATCTAGAGCATGAATGTATAATGTGAATAGTTGTGGTCCCAAAATTGATCTCTGCGGTACTCTACTAGTCACCAGTTGCCATCCTGAAAAAGACTCTTTATCTGCACTCTGTCTCCTGCCAGTTAGCCAATCCTCTATCTATGCCAGTCCTTAGCCCCTAACACCATGAGCTCTTATCTTATTTAGCAGCCTCCTATATGGCACCTTGTCAAAAGTTTTTTGGAAATTCAAATAGATCATGTCCACTGGCGCTCCTCTGCCTAATCTGCTCAATGCCTCCTCAAAGAATTCTAACAAATTTGTCAGGGATGACCTCCCCTTGAAAGCAATGCTGACTCGGCCTATTTTACCACGCATATTCAAGTATTCCTCATTCTCATTCATAATAATGGGGACTCAAAATCTTACTAACAAACAATGTCAGGCTAACTGGCCTATATTTTCCTCTTCTGATTTAACAGTTCTTAAATAGGGGTGTACATTAGCCATTGTCCAGTCCTCTGTGACCTTCTCTAACTGCAGTGATTCCTGAAAGATCACCATCACTGCCTACACAAGCTCCTCAGCTACCTTTTTCAGAACTCTAGGGTGTTGTCCATCTGGTCTGGGTGATTTCTCTACCTTCAGACCTTTCAGCTTTCCAAGCACCTTCTCCTTAGTGATAACCATTGCATTCAACTCTGCCTTTTGACCCTCTTAAAGTTCTGGAATGCAGCTGATGTCTTCCACTGTGAAGACCGATGCAACATACATATTCAGTTCCTCCACCATTTTTGTTTCCCACTACCACTTCCCCAATGTTATTTTCCACTAGTTCAATCCACTCCTGCCTCTCTTTTTACCTTTTATTGCAATCTTCTCTTATATTACTAGCTAGCTTACTCTCATGTTTCATTTTCTCCCCACTTATTGCCTTTTTAGTTGTCCTCTGCTAGTTTTTAAAAGACTTCCCACTAATCTTCACCATATTGTATGCTTTTTCTTTTAGGCTGTCCCAAATTTCCCTCATCATCCACTGTTGCCTCATCCTCCCATTAGTATGTTTCTTCTTCCTTGGGATGAATTTCTGCTTGCCACCCAATTTATCCCCAGAAACCCCTGCCACTGTTGCTCCACTATGTTCCCTGCTAGCCTCCCTTTCCAATCAAGTCTGGCTGTCTCTCTCATGTTTTGTAGTTATATTTACTCAATGGCAAACTTTCCCTCTCAAACTGCAGGATGAATTCTATCATGTTATGGTCACTGCCTTCACCTTAAGTTCCCTGCTAATTTTCAAAAGGTTACCTGAAACAGCAAAGGTAACAAGCTTATTGGGGGGGTGGGGGAAGTATACAAGTGACAACAATTGGTTAATTCTTCCAAAAAGTTGGCAAAGGGGCCTAATGTGCTCTATAAACTTGTGCACAACTGGATTTCATATGTAGGAATTTTGTCAGCAAAAGTTTAACTCGTGTAAGTTCATACAGGGTCATTCAACAACTATCTCAACACCTGTGAGTTTTGATAAAACAAGATTCCTTTCGAGTCTTGCGCACAGTAACAAAGTCCATTAATTGGACATCCTCCCCGACTGCTCCCTTTCCCAGCGCCTTCAGGCGGCGCTCTCTGGCGCATGCTCCAACAGTCAGCGAGAGCCGTGGAGGCCGGCCGGCGGGCGGGAGGGCGAGAGCGCGCACCCACACCGAGCGCGCAGGCTCGTCGCACAATGGCGGAGCTGGGTAAGAAGTACTGCGTCTACTGCCTGGCTGATGTGACGAGCCTGCGGCTCCGCTGCACCGAGTGCCAGGACATCGAGCTCTGCCCCGAGTGCTTCTCGGCTGGCGCCGAGATCGGGCAGCATCGGCGCTGGCACGGCTACCAGCTGGTGGACGGCGGGCGGTTCACACTGTGGGGAGCCGAGGCGGAGGGGGGCTGGACGAGCCGGGAGGAGCAGCTGCTGCTCGATGCCATCGAGCAGTACGGCTTCGGCAACTGGGAGGACATGGCCGCGCATGTAGGGGCGCGCGCCCCGGCGGAAGTGATGGAACACTACGTCAGCATGTATATCCATGGCAACCTGGGCAGAGCGTGCATCCCGGATTCCATCCCGAACCGCGTGACTGACCACACGTGCCCGGGGGGCGGCCCCTTGTCGCCCAGTTTAACGGCTCCTCTGCCGCCGCTCGATATCACCGTGGCCGAGCAGCAGCAGCTCGGTTACATGCCGCTGAGGGATGACTACGAGATCGAGTACCTACAGGACGCCGAGACCCTCATTAGTGGCCTGGCCGTCAACTACGACGACGAGGACGTGGATATCGAGCTGAAGCGGGCCCATGTTGACATGTACGTGCGCAAACTGCGGGAGCGGCAGCGCCGCAAGAACATGGCCCGCGACTACAGCCTGGTGCCCGCCTTCCTGGGCAAGGAGCGAAAGGATCGGCCGCTCAAGCGCAAAGTGACTAAGGAGGAGAAGGAGCTGCGGACCAAGCTGCGGCCAATCTGCCAGTTCCTGTCCGCCAAGGAGTTCGACGACTGCTTCGACAACCTGCACAAGGAGCGGGCGCTGCGGGCCAAGATCCGCGAGCTGCAGCGCTACCGGCGCAACGGCATCGCCAAGACCGAGGAGTCGGCCGAGTACGAGGCAGCCCGCCACAAGCGGGAGAAGCGCAAGGAGCTGCGCAACAGCGCGGCCGCCAAGCGCGGCAAGGACGAGGCCGGCAAAGAGGCTGCTGCCGCCGGCGCCACAGCGGAGTTCAACTCCATGGAGAACCTGGCCGGCTTCGACCTGCTGTCCGAGCGGGAGAAACTGCTGTGCAGCTCCCTCAACCTCAGCCCCACACGGTACCTGACCGTCAAGACCATCATCATCAAGGACTATCTGCAGAAGAGGCAGGGCATCCCTTCCAAGAGCCGCCTGCCCAGCTACCTCGACAAAGTCTTAAAGAAGAGGATATTGAATTTCTTAACGGAGAGTGGTTGGATTGCCCGGGACGCTTCTTGACACTGCTTTTTTTTCATCTGGAGGAAAATACTTTTTTTTTCAATGCCACTATGTCCCAAGAAATGCCAAGTGTTTCTTTTTTATCAAAGAAAGTCCAAATGACTTTTGGTGTAGTGTGCAACAGGTAGTCAGCTGTGGATAGGAATACATGGTTTTCATACCGTGGAATTTGACAAATCGCAGCAAACTTTTTCAAGATGAGCTAAAGTAAGCAAGCATGTTAATTAAGCCTTGTTTAAGACAGTTGAGCCATTAAACGAGAGTGCCACCAAAAGTCAAAAGATCTACCTGAAAAAAAATGGTGGTTACATCTGGCTGCTACCTTTTTGGGGTCACATCCTGTAGCTTTACTGGCCCTAAATCAACAAACTGTCCCAACCTTCATCTACTGATGAGCTGAGCAAGAACATGCTAATCTACAGACTGTTCAGGCCTCTTGGCAAGCCCTGATTCTGGCAGATAGCTAAAAGACTATTGGAGTAGGAGGAGGGAATATAATATTGGATAACTGTATTTAATCGATTCACTAAGGGACTTCAGCAAATCTTATGGCCTGTTTGTGATTCTGATTTTTGCGGGGGGGGGGGTTGCATTCTGTAAAACCTGCCCCATGTAAGTTAGTGGCAGGCCCCACTAACTCTTGAAAACAAAAGCAAATAATTGTCAAATGAACAGCCCGAAACTTTATTCAATGTCTGAAAGATGTGCAAAACTTAGGCAGTTGTTGCATTTTGAGTTTCTGCATAACTGATTTGTGGGAGTTCTTTTTTTTAAAACAAGGACAGCGATGTTACATCAGAGGTTCTAATTTGTACAGTTCACTTCACAGAAGTCCTTTTGATTTGTTTAAAATGTAGATTTTTGAATGATCCTGTACGACTCTAGCAAGAGTTCATTGAGAATCTGGGCCTCTTTCAACAGGGTGAAAAATTAGTAGTGGTCCATTGCACAATGAATCGGTGACAGGAGATTGGCTCACTGACATGTTCAAATATTATTCTTAAATGTTACTTAAACCTTTCATGCAAATCTTACAAATTGCCTTCCAAGAAATATTTGTAAACAGTCAGTTTTTTAAGTTATTAAATCAAATACTAATGGCTTATTTTTGCCACTTACTGCTACCCTAAATTTTGAGCCTAATTTCAAAGCATTTTGACTGGTGAAAACTTCCATTCCTTTTCTCAATTATTTCATTCTTTTCTTTATCTTCACACGCAGCTTACTATAAAGTGCAAGAAAATGTCCCATTCTTAGGTGTGTGCCACTTGCATTCTTAAGCTGTACACTATGATATGAGGTGATCGTTTTAAGTTTTCTTCTGCATGAAGTAGCTCCCCATTGCTCTGCCTAAACTTACGAAAATCAAGGACCTCCCATGTTGGCAGCTGTAATCATACATTACACCATGCTGTGTCACAGGGCATGAAGATGACAAAATAACAAGGAAAAGAAAACTTGTTTAAAAATACGGGCTGATATGTTGAAGCTGGCCTGTCAATCTCAAATTATCGTTGGACCATATAACTGTCAGGAAACTACATGTTTATCTCCAGTGCAAAGATGTTTTTGCAAAATGTGTTGCTTCTTTTAAAAAAAAAAGAAACTCCAGGAGTTATTTAGTGAGAGCAGATGTTTGGTTTGTGTAGCCTTGCTGTTGGCAAGTGATGTGCCATGAGATTGCATTTTTTAAATTCAGTATGTGAAATCAGTTTTAAGTGGGGGGTGGAATCAAAAGGCGATGCAGTATTTCTGTCGATTGTTTTATACTAGAAACCTAAAGTGAGCACCAAAAGATTTAAAAACTGATAACCCATTAGCGATTATCAAGGATTTTTAAAATGACAACTTTTAATTTAAATTATGAAATGTGTGCTACATGGTGCTGGCGTCTCATTGTGGCATCTGGATACAGCTACTACTTGATACAGTACTACTTGCTGATCACCACAACATAGTTTTTCAGTTGCTTCTAGTCTAACCATTATTGAATTCCTTTCAAGACTTAAAATGATAAATCTTTCGTTAGTGTAAAACAGGAATAATGCATCGCGCTGCAACCTTGGCATTTTTTTTTACAACAAAAAATCTCAATACATCCTCCTTTATTTACTTGCTTTGGATATATCTCAGTGAGGTTCCATTATACCTTTGCAAAGGGCCTGTTTTTGTGTCAACCAAGTAGGCAGAGAGAGTTGTACCATTTATTAATTAAATTAGTTAGATCAAACCTGTGACCTTTGAATATTCAAAGTTAATTTGGGCAACTTTTTATAAGTTATTTTATGCAATTACAGAACTGGCTTGGAATGTTGCAGAGCTGTGCCAAAAAGTGAATGTGAATAAATGTGTAGTGAAATGTTATAAAATTACTTGCTAATAGTACCAGTTTGTTGCAGTAGAGTTTTGGGAAATTATGGTGCTCTAAGAAAATTTTTGAAGGTGCTAATGCTGTGAGAAAAGAAAAAATGTTCCTAGCTACAAATTCTTATTTTCCCCCTCCACTAAGAAATTCATTCCCTTCTGGCTGCTTTAATTTGAGTAACATAAATTTCTAGTCTTGCTAGCCAGTGGTGGACCGTTTGGTCTTTTTTTTTTAACGGCCCAGAACATACTGACAAAAATAAATCCCTGACCTTTTTCATGTGTTGCTGGCTCACTGTAAGCTCACAACCAGAAAGGGCATTGCGTATTTATTTGCAGGTTATCCCTGACTAAATATTGTACATCATGCTGCATAAGAATACCTTTTTCTGAAGGTTAGAGGAATGCAAAAGCAGGGCTCAGCATATACACAGAATAAAATAAGAACTATTGCCATAGATGGTGTACATTTTGTAATGTGAATAAAATACAACATTAGTAATTTTAAATTAAATTGTCATATCTAATGAAATGATTGGATTTAACCACCTTTGTACAATCATACTGGTTTAAAACCATCAAATGCATCATCTTTTGGAATCCTGTGTACAGAGTTCATCCTGAGTCACTTTAGCTGTATCATCACCATAAGAATTCTACTTGAGTTTGAGTTTTTTGGTCTTGGAATCCATGCTCCACAATAAATTTTCCTTTCTGACCATTTAATTGGATATTCCACTTTTTACAGTGATCTGATTGCCCCACAGTGGCTATGAACAAACTATGTTAAAATGGAGTAGTATGAATATTTCCACACTTAAGGTTTTCTCTCATGAGCAGTCTGCATGCTGAACTCGGATTCATCTGACTTGATGCATTATATATACATTGCGTTTCTGCTACCATGTAACCATTCTGATTCCGTTCCAATATGTGCATGTCACAATCAGGCTAGTAGCTAGTCTTTCCTCTCATCGAGTATTTAGTCTTGGGCATTATTGAGAGTAGATTATTTCCTATCTCGTACCAGTTAATTAAACAGTGAATTCCTGCATTGTTTGACAATTTTTGCAAATGTTAGAAATGAACAACTGCTTCATATTCTGATCTTTAGCCAAAGAACATGGTTTTTGTTCATTGTTTGTTTGTCTTGAGCACCATCACATCTTGACAACACTGCCTGCACCACCTGCTTGATCCCATGCATTGAATTATAAGATGAGTATAACTGCAGACATTAATTTCAGCTGAAAATTGAAACATCCATATTGCTGGCCTAAACACAGATTTTAGTGCTGAAAGAATGGTGTCATCTTCGATGCTACAATCTGCAACATCCAAAGTGCCTGTTCTATCTACAGTAGTCCTTAAACTACATCTAGCATGCTGGAACTAAAACTGAGTTAGTAATTCACAGCAAAGAAAAATGAGATTCTAGGAGAAGAAAAGGCTAAGATGGAATAGAAATCTGTTGAGATGGCTGGAATTGTGTTAAAAGGCTAGTACCTACTTGGGAATGGATGGACTGTTCAGCTGACAATTCATTGAGTCCCAGCAGTGTGCTATTTTACTACTTATCCTTTTGATTTTATTTTACAATTTATGTTGCTTTTTGTTGAAACACAATGGGATGTTTACGGCATTGTTATTGGACCAAGCTGCTGCCGTAGTCTCGCAAGTGAAGTCCATTCTGTGTAGAACTAAGTGAGTCGAGCCCAAATGTCACTGCTTGAACTCCTGCTCCCTGATTTCACCTGGTGTGGTAGATTGTTGTGCTACATTGGACTTTAGTGTTCATGAAGGGCAAAAAATTGACCATGTACGAAGGAAAAAGGACACATGAATTCCTAAGTGTGAGAAAAGGGTAAGTGTGTGGATATCAGCTACATCATGACTGTTTTGATCTAATATATTCTGCTATCAAGCAACCTATTGATACCATGTGGTTACTGAAAATGTGGCCTTTTAAGTGAATTATCACAAGACCACTGGAACTCCGTAGCGCAGAATCAAGACCATTGGAGGCAAGAGAAGCACTGAACAGTAGAAATATCTCCTCTCTCTTGATGAACTAGTAGATACAATGAGTCATTGTTGCTCAGTGTGCAGATTAGAGGTAGAAAGATTCTTCTACAAGTTTCTTTACGGAATGCCATGTTAAAGACTTGTCTTTTGTGGGTTGTAATTGGCTTTTTGGGATAAAAACATCTTGCTCTATTTAAATCAAGGTTAGCATTATTCATTCAATTCCCAGCTTTTGTGGGCACCACATTCTGGTATAGACTTGGCAATAATTTATTAACCTCTTTCAGAGGTTGAAAGGATGAATGGTGAAAACACCAATAGAAATATGTACTTACAATTAAGGCACTTTGTGTGACAATAGAGGTTTACAGCATATTTCACCATATTGTGCCAGATCTAAGAATTTATAGGCACTTGGTGGAAACCGTTTCATTTACCATATTGTAATTTCTCACTTTGGCTGTTTATAAAGTTTGCCAGCAATATATGGTTTTAAGAATTTGACGTAGGGGGATACAGGTTGGTGTATCTATTAATGACTAGTTAGCAGTCAGCATTTAGTATTTTTTGGGTAGAGTAAATTTGGAATGGAAGATCTGTATGCTTTATGCAATCATTGGAATTCTGAATTTGTTAAAACTTCAATATTCCCAGTTTAAGTTACTGGAATGTATTGATTTGCTTTTATTTTTACACTGTTTTCAGTTTATTTGGATGTCTTTGCTAATGTGAATTAATTTATTAACTGGTGAAATATGCTTGAAAATGAGTTTTTAGTTTATGTGGAAGACAGGGCTTTTCCTTCTTTGAGCTCTTTATCTTAAACTAAATGTTAGTTTGTTTGAATTGTGTGAAATAATTACCATTTTGATAGATATCAACACAAGTTCTTCCCTGATAGGAAAACCTAAATGTGATGCTGGGCCTGTTTAAAATTGTAGCATACGTCAGAAAAGGAGGATTAAAGAAAGCTATATTCATGCATGGGGATAATTTAAAATATTCATCAAACTAATTATATTGGTTCTAATTTCCTTGACTGCCGGTGAAGCTGAAGCCATTAAGTTGGACTTTTGCATTGTTACTTGTGTTCTACGCTGCTTGCTTTTACTTTATTTTTGCTGACTCCCTGGAGTGGGTGATGAGTAATAAAACATCTCTAATGTAGAGACACAGATTTATATAATGTGATATGCATGTGTATAGGATTTTATGGAAGGGCAGTGACTCATGTTTGGGTAGGTTGTCTGTAAATATGTGCATTAATTGGTGGAATGGTTATGTACTTGTTTGCTGAATCTGCTCTTTGCAACTTCACAGGTCTGTTGCCTCCAATTGTTCATTGTACTTGTAAGAGATACCTTGCCAATTTATATTCAGGATTTATCTGTTGTAATCAATCCTACATACCAATGTGTATAAGCTGACCCATCATAAATGATGCCATCAGGTTGGGAAAGGGAATGCTTTCATAAAAACTTTTTTGTGCCATCCTTTTGCAGAAGAGGCAAGTTGGACCAGTTAGTCAAACTATATTCAAATGACAGCACCTGCAACTTTCTGACCATTTTTCTATTTCCTATATTTTGTCCGATGTTTGATACCTAAGCTGCTTATTTGTTGTATTGAAGTTATTGTGAGAATTCATGACAATCGGAGAGTTAATTGCTTTCCTAGAGCAATCAGTATCCTGTGTGCAGTTCAACGGTAATAAATATAGTTTCTTTGC